GACAGTCATAGGGAAAAGGATTAATGAGGCATTTATTCAGTGCATTCTGGTAAAAAAACCCAAAGTATTCCAACCATACATAATGCTACAAGAATACACCACCATACAATAGCTAGAGCAGTACTCAAGACATTTATAATACATAGTTACAGAAGAAGATACTGCAGTCTTCCCTTAAAAAGACTTTATTAAATCCATAAGGATATATGGGCAATTTTATGTAGCCTTTGAGTTTTGCTGCAATTTATCTAATTTTACATGTATCCAGTGATAGGATATGAAGTAAGTTGAACTTATATGGCATAGTAGCCCAGAGTACATGTTCCCACAATGGAGAAACATATTGAATTGCAGTATCTGATTGCTGATTTCAGCCCTCAGGCCACTTTCCTGGCTGTAGAGGTGTCTTGCATTGCAGAATGGCACAGGAACACGCTTTTAAAACTGTGAATTGTATGATAAAGAAAATGCAGAAACTCTTCATTTATAAAACCTCCATTTGCATAGCAATCCAAATTATTACTGTAAGTTACTGATGCTGCACAGCCTAAGTGAATCACTCAGGCAAAACCTGTAGGATGAATATTCTACAAAAACAGACACAACACCATTGAAGTTATTACAAAAACCCCAACATTTTAATCTTGAAGCCTTTTCAAACATTACTGCAATATGATTGTGGGAAAAGATGTTACTTTTCAGAAAGAAGTTAAATATATCCAAACAGATTTGTATCCTCTTCAATTCCAAATTCTGATTTTCCTTGTTCAGTTCCGCATTGCCAACATTGCATTTATGTCCCAAATGAGATTCCGTAACTGATCCATAATCTGCTTCAGCTGCTGATTCTTCTGTTTCAGTTTCTGTGGGAAGAGTTTATTACAAGTTTTTTCATGATCAGTTCAAATAGCACACTCAAAAAATTGAACAAAAGTTACAGTGTTATGAAATGCTATGTGAACCTTTTTCTCAGTTGTCTGTGAGCACTATTAGTGGGATAATACATCTCCTTTAAAGCACACACTAAAAAGTACAAGAAAGCTTCAAAAGTTAAGGACCATTGCTACAGGGGGAATGCTGTTTCTTTGCACAGCAGTCTTTAAAATCAAAACACCTGAGAGCTTCAGAAGCTGGAGGCTTGTGGGGATCAGTCCTTGCTTTTTAAAGTCCAAAAGAGACCACTCTAAGTAGGAAGAAAGAATCTGGTGAACGGGTAAATTTATGTGAATGTATGCTGTTTAACTTGGGTGCACAGAAAAATGAGGGATTAACAGTAGAAGTTTGAACAAAGCACAAGGTATAGGTAAAGCCAGTCAAGCTTTTGCAGCCCTTCTGCCTATGTAGGTCAACTGCAATATACTATGAGTCCTGTCTTGAAAAAGATTTTCCCCAGTATGCTGAATACTTTAAAATTATGTATTTGTTTTGCAAACTGCAGAAGCATTTGAAGGAACAGAAAAACAGAAACTCACTTTTATTGGGTTGCATAACCAAAACTTAAAAATTATGCCTTTACAGACAAAAGATCGGGACATTAAGACATCACACACTGTCCCTAATCTTGCATGTTTCACAATAATACACATATTTATTGTCTGATTTATTCATTTTTCCTGATCAAATCAAAGCTGCCAAGAACGAAGTTGCTGCTAACAATATACAGTATGTCCTTCACTTCACTGATTTGATGTCAGTCTTCTCACATTAGAGATCAACCTACTCATTCATTAGGTAAGTTCAGAGTTCCAATCAAAGTGAAAGCTACCATCAAAACAGAACAAACTATTCAAAATGTTTCACAAATGGCAATACATTAAAAGGTGACTCAGATCAGTTATACAACCAAAGTAACTTGGAATAGTGATAAAATGAAGCAACAAAAGAAGCAATATCCTGAAAATTATTCTCCTGAATTTTGATGCAGACAACACAACAATATTTTTAAGTTTTCCATCTGGTCAGCTGGAAGAAAGGTACAGAGAAAAACAAGCCTGTTCACTTCAGACCTGTAAAAACAGTCTGAAGTAATACAGCAACTAGGTTTAGATTACATGGGGACATAAGAAGGGAAATATTCCTGAACTTTCGAGGACACATTCCCTGGAAGAAGAGGCAACGCTCAGTTCCAGACTCCTGAGGATGTGAAAACAGATGTAGGACAGTGCATCAACTCAAAATTTCTAATCAAGCATGTGACAGACTAAAATGTGTTTTAAAGATAACTATGTGCATTTATCTAATGCTTCTTTCTTTTCCACTTGCTGATTCAAGACTTCACAAAGAGATCCAAGTCCTAAAGACAAAAGAGAAAACTAAGGAGAATGTAGTTACCACAGCATCCAAATCACATGATTCTAAGTGTCTTCTTCCAAAAGTGCATAATGTAAGATTTCAATGCTTGAGAAAGCAGAAGAGGGATGAGATAAACAAGCATGTCCATACCTGTGGCATTTATTAACATATGTATATTTGTCATTCTCATCATGCTTCAATCTTAGAGAAATCACTGAATGTAACACGAAAAGTACTAGTTTAATTCAAACTCTCACTCCCTGATACTGAGGGGATGCCATTTTCAGATTTTTCAAAACCTTCATGAACAGAAATGAAGGCTGAACAGTCAGTGATGGTTATTCAAGTCACAGACAGAAATTAAGAACCATTAACCTCTGAAAAGGAGACTGTGCTCTCCCTCTGTCCATGTCTAATTGTACTGTTAAACACAGTTACTTAGGTAAGCTCACAAGAACTTTACGTAAGTTATACCCAAAAGACTCATTCTGTAAAATTGTTTTCATTTCCTGTGCAAGTATTATGACACAGCAAATTGCTTGATCTTTATTTTATGCTAGACAAGGGAACCTTCAAACTGGATTTCATTTGTTTTCAAAGCATCTGTAAAGACAAGTATAAAACTGTTTCTGTATTTTTCTGATGATAATTTTAGATCCTTGTCTTCAGTGAAGAGCCATTTTCTTAGCTCTTCTATTCTACTTCTTCTACAGACAGAACATCTAAGATGAAGCACCATCCCTGGATTGCTAGGCTGTTGGAAGAATAAAGACAGGAGAAAAAAATCCACTTCAGAGATCGCAGTCTCCTAACTGAAATGCATATAGTGATCTTTGTTACTGATCTTTGACAGGCAGTGGTCCACACCACAAAGTGCTACATAATTAATATGTTCTGCACCACTGGAAGTGCTGGCCTCTGCTTAAGACTTTGCTGAGCCAGTAACAACATCTCTACTTGGGTCTAACCTTGGAAAGATAGGTGAAATGGCCTTCTTGGGAAATGGGTAAGTTCTGTAAGCAGCTTTTGCAGCAATGACAAATTTCTGTTTGAACAGATTGCTTGCAAGTTGTCTCCCACTCTT